TGAGCCCATTTCAATAAAGTTTCGATCGCTTTGAAAAGAGGAATCAGTATGTATGTATGTATACATACATTCGGTAAATGTTTATACTCAAGCTATTCTTGTTGAATTTGAGCTTAAATTTAGCTAACATATTTGAGCCATCTTGGACTCTAGCAGTTTTTTGACATTCTTTGGATGCCGTTGACTTTTATAATATATTAAATCAAAATTAGTTCTGTATTTTATAGTTCTTTTATACTAACTTTGTGCACATTTATGCCAGAAGTCAAGCTTATAGAAAAAGAACTGTTTATAGATATTATTGTGATTACACCAAGTATCGAATCCATTTATATCGCTTGTTATTGGTTACCTTTTACACGTCGATCATCTTGCTTAATGCCATCTCTTATAATCTTATTTTATCTCCTCTCCCAATTTCATTAACAGGTAACATAAATCCCTACGCCACATACGAGGCGGGGGGAATCGCCGAACTCGCGACAACTACGACCTCCCAACTGCCCTCAACGACGATTACAGGCGGAGACATGGTGCCCAGTAGTGCTGTTAACAGTATGGCAAAATCATTATACCAGACGACAACTGGTAAAGCTATTATGCGCCAGCATATGAATGCTTCATTGCTTCTAAGATTTCAATGCTCGTTTACTTTGTGTCCATTTCCAATAGATATATGTGTATATATTTACGCTTGTCTGTGAGTTGCGGCCATAATTTAGCAACATGAATGCCTACTGTTGGAGTTCCTTAATGAAACGGGATTGTAGTATTGCTTGCGCCCGTGATTTTGTTACCACAGGAAAGCGAACTAGAACTATAGCATTTACTGTGAATGTTGATCCTTGAACGACTTTTCCCATATTGACATAAGGATTTTTATTTTATGAGAACATTTCTGGGCTAGTAACCCTTCTGCAAACTTACATAGACACGAGCATTTGAATTAGCATAAAAAATGCTTTGGTATGTGCCAAATGCGACACCATTACCTCTTGGACGATTTCCATCTGCCTTCAGGCCTCATTTAGGCACAATCTCATGCATATACATAGGACTTCCCAGGCTTGCTTATTCTGTCACATAAAGTTTCGGCACCCCTTGTATTTTTGTCGACGGAATCGGGCAGTTGAAAAATTGAAATTCATTCTCGCGAGAAATGCCGTCTTGAACTGGCGGCAATGTGTATTTGGGAAGGACTCAAAGATTTGGGCGTGACAAATTCCTTCCATGAATTAATCTCGAAGTCTGCTTCTCCAACTTGAATCCAATTATTCGGCGGTGTTGATGGCAATCGAATCTTGCTTAACATAGAAATAATGGTAAACGAGGATCGTATAGTAGATATGAAGTCCAAGATGGTGTTGTATTGCATTTTGACGCTGTCTCTCTTAGCTTCTTAGTGCTGGGTTGATGTCATTTATGCAATTTATTCCGGGCAACAGGGAAATCTTGTGGAACGTATCTACCCCCGCTTACTTTGACATGGTAGTAATGATAATTTAAAGCAAGGACTCTTGATTGGGTATATTCCCAGACGTTTCGCCGACATCGTTAGGGGGAGGCGCCATCCTTAGCACGGACGTACAGCCTATCAAAGTGACAAGACGTGTAACTCTGAGCTAAGGACGATGCCAACGAAAAATCTTGAATAAGTGGGTTGACCTCGTTGTGGCAAGTTGGTCTCGTTGTTAGG